TCCCAGGCGAAGATCCTTGCCGTCGAGGCCGCTCGGGTCAGATTCGAAGAACTGCCATCCAGTATCCCGGACGGTCCTTATGAAGTGAACGTGGATCTGTCCGCCATCCGGGACATGTTTAAATCCTCCGATGAATTCTCCATCATCAAGGATGAACATGCAAGGGCCCAAATCCCGTTCGCCTTTGGGGCGTATTTGAAGGATTTCCCCAAAGGCGCCGGTCGGCTATCGGCTGGGGTGGCCCTCTTGGATAAGGACCCGGAGGCCAAGAAATGGAACGACTCCATTGTCTCCGATGTTTATGGCAAAATTGGCCAGGTCTTGCTGCGTCCCTTCATCACTCAGCTTCAAAATCAACTGGGGAGACCGGTTTAGGCCTCTGATCTCCCCACAGATGACATCATCCAGGCACAGTTCGAGAAATACCTGCGAGCCCAGCAACGGGAAGCTGATCGAGCTGCGGGAAAAGAGCCTGAACCCCCATCTGATGATGATGAGGATGAGGATGAAGAGGGAGATGACATGGCCCCCAGTCAATAATTCATATGTACTTTTTCATTACTTGTTGTAACTTTCTTTTTCTCTAAATAGCTTGTACTTCCCGGTCAGTAGAACCGACGAATATATATCCCTCTTTTGTCTGAAACTTTCTGTGCTGTCTTTTCTGTTTTTAATGCATGATTTACTCGTCATTCGGGATTCGGCCTGTTCTGTAGGACTTAGCAATTTCCTAACTTATTCCTTGCTCAAATATTCTTAATGCCGTTGATCGCCATTCGGGCATTAGACAGTTCTGATAATTTAAAGGAAAAAAACCCCTTCCCCCCGGTACTCAGCCGTTCGGGCTTCATACCAAATTTTAGGACTTAGCAGTTTTCTTGGTTTTCTTCGCGCTTGGACTCCTTCATAACATTGATAGCCGGTCGGGCTTCAAACCAATTTTTAGGACTTAGCCATTCTCCTCCAGACGACCTTTTACAATACTGTTGGCCGGTCGGGCTTCAGGTTGACATTTAGGCCTTAGCATTTTTCTTCTAGATAACCTTTTATAATACTGTCGGCCGGTCGGGCTTCAGGTTGATATTTAGGACTTAGCATTTTTCTAAACAGCAAGCCCCTGTGGCTTTTGCTAATCCTCTGTAAGCCCGTCCGGGGTACGTGCACAAAAAATGAAACATAAATGCCCCAATTTTAATCGTAACCACCAAATGCCACGTGTTGCTCATGGATTAGGGGGTTGTGCGGTACTTTCCCTATTTATAGAGAGGTGCTTCTCCTAATTTCTCCTGCTGTTTTCTCATTTTTCTTTCGACCTTTCTCTCTCTAGAATTCCTTTGCATACTCTCAAGCCTTCTCTCTCTAGAATTCCCAAATTTCCTCCAGCGTTTTTATGTACTACTCCTCTAGCTCAGAATCTGAAGAGATGCCTTTGATCCGCAAAAGCAAAACATCCGCTGGTAACCAGGCCGAAGGCTCTTCGTCCCAAACACCCAAACCTGCCAATACTCAGGTCAGCAAACATACCGAACAGCCGCAGGAGGATGGATGTCTGTCAGGAGATGACCTCCAGGTTTACAACAAGGGGATGCCCGAGCAGCCACCCCGCATTCCCCTACATTTCAATCGCATACGCAAACACAAACAACGTCTCCCAAAAGATGTTGAACGGCAACTTAGCCAGTTGTTGCCCCCACCAAGAGAATACTATGCCGGATTCATTCGGCACCCTATGAGGCACAGACCGGGGCACGTGCTAGTGCACCTCGATGCCCTGACTGCTGGACTTCGGTTCCCTCTCCACTCATTCATAGTGGAGTTCTTACGCCGGGTTGCTGTACTGCCCGCTCAGTTTGTGCCCAGCACCTACTGTATTCTGACAGGCTTCATTATCCGGTGCCACGAGTTGAGGATCACCCCGAGCGTCGATCTATTCCTTTATCATTACTGCTATCAGCCCTACTGGACGACCGGGTACTTGAAGCTGGTAGCCCGTTCTGACCGTCAGCTGTTCACAGAGAACGTTATCCCGCAGGCTGACTGGGAAGAGCGGTTTTTGTTCGTTCGGGTAGGTGATTCTTTGCCATTCCCGGACCGGTGGAACGCATATCCCGTCCGGGATTCCCTGCCCAGGGTGGATGCCGTTCTACGCTCCCAGGCTGAGTCTCTGCGAATGGGAGGGACCAGAAGTCTTCGCAGCTTTGTCACTGCCTCGAGCATGTTATCTGCTAGAATTGGTAAGCATAGTAGGGTTTTAACCCGATCATCCTTCGCTCTCGCAATTCAACTTTCTTATTTTTTATTTCTATTTCTTGTAGGTGTGATCTCTCCCATACCCGTCCGGCGTTCTATCTCCGCTGCTAAAGGGAAAGAGAAGATGATAGCCGATCGTGATTCGGCGGAGCAAACCCAAAAAAAGCGCAAAGGAAATGATGCCGATCATCTGATCCCGATCGACCATGTGGTTGACTTGACTGGGCCGGAGGTTGAGCCCAAAAGATCAGTACCTGCCAACAAACCAACTCCGGCTCTTACTGCCACACCGATCGATGATCGGATGTTTGTTGAGTTCTCAAATATGGGGCCCAGATCGGAAGGGAGGTATCTGTTCGGGTTGATGCCATCTTCTATGTGGTGTCATACCGCGATCAAAGTTCCCCCGAGCTTCACTAACTTGACTCACTGGTCGGACCTTTTCGAAGCAGGTCACCAGGAAGCACTCAAGGTACATTTCAGTCCGACCCATACCTTTCTATTACTCATGCTTTACCTTTTCGGACTTTCATTATAACCTTGTTTTCAGGCTGGCGTGTACTATCACAAAGCCTTTCTCGCTGCTGAGAAGGAGATGAAAGCCCTGGCCAGTGATCGGGATGACGGCCAGGTCCTTCTTTCCGCCGCTCGGAAGTTAGCGACCGACCTCCAGGAGCAGGCCAAAGAGGGTGAGAAAGCAAAAGCTGCCCTGGCCGAGATGCAGGAGATGTCCCGTCGTCGCGACCGGGAGCTCAAAGAACTCCGGGCTAAGGTGCGGGCTGCTGAATCTGCTGGCATTAAATTTAATAAGGCTGTCGGAGATCATCTGCCCGAACCCTACATGGTCAATACCTATCAGATTGCTCAGCAATCGGTAGTGGATTTCCAACGGGGCAAGGCGCTGAACCTCGCTCTGGAGAATACGGCCCGGCAATTCCTAGGTCCTCACCTTGGCCAATTTTTGCGTGAGAGCTCAGATCCCATCAAGGCAGGGATCGACCTCCTGGACAGCACGCCGGAAGGGAAATCTTTCTTGGATGTCCTGACCGAGAAAACCGTAAAGCAAAGTCAGGACCTGCTTCTGGATAGGAATCTTGAACTGATCTTAGAGCGTTTCCCCAAGCCGTTCGATCCTGATGAACTAGGCTTCGATGATCTGTTCGGGAATACGTATGATCGCGTCATGGAGAAAAGATCCAAAGCAGCGCCTGACGATGCAGTGCAGGCAGGGAGCTCTCAGCCTACATCCTCCCCGAACGACGATCATCCATTAGTGTAGCCTTTCCTTATCTGTTGTCTCCTTTCTTGTATATTTGTTTTTGTATATTCCGGCTAGTAACGCCGAAGAATAAACTGGACTTTTTTCCTTTGTCTGTTTCACTTTTTCTATTCCTTTGATTTTTTGTCCACAATCTTTTCTACATGGCTGAACCTCACTCGGCTTATGTATCTTTATATCTAACACCTTTTCCGAACCCGTTTTGATCCCTTTTCCTGTTCGTGATGCACAGGTTCAAAACTCTTAGCTGAGGTGAATTCCTCCAAGCCGTTTTGATCGTGACCACAGGGTCAAACTCTCGGCTGGGATAGGGGCTCCCTCCAAACTGTTAACACGTTCGACATTCGGTCATCCGGAATGATTTCACGTGTTAACAAGCTGAGGTGAGACTCTCTTCATAATTGTTCTGACACCTTCCCGAACCCGTTTTGATCTCTTTTCCTGTTCGTGACGCACGGGTTCAAAACTCTTAGCTGAGGTGAATTCTTCCAAGCCGTTTTGATCGTGACCACAGGGTCAAACTCTCGGTTGGGATAGGGGCTCCCTCCAAACTGTTAACCCGTTCGTCATTCGGTCATCCAGAATGATTTCATGCGTTAACAAGCTGAGGTGAGGCTCTCTCCTTCCAAACCCATAATTCCGATGCATTCCGAACTGTTTTCTCTGGCTCGTATCATCCATATTAGGGGTCTGAGGTAACCCTTTTCGGACTGTAAGCAATATCACCGAAGTTGGATCATTTCTTACTTATAGCTAAAAGGGTGTGACACTCCAAAAAGAAAAAAAAATGTAAAAATAAAATAATTTTATTAATAAGATAAAACGTTACAAAGGTAAGATTTTAATAATTAAGTGAATCAGATAAAATTTTAACAGTTATGACATTTTTAGTCGAATAAAAATGTTTTAATAATAGGAGTAACATCTTTATATGACATAAATCATAGAAGTGACATTTTAGCAAAGGCTATTAAGTTAAGAAATACCATTGAAACGTAATTTAAAACTATGTACATTAATTGTGCGACTAAAACATACTACGTATGAGGTATAAATCATAGAATATTGTTTGACTATTCAACCTAATATATATGGAACAACTGTACCCGATTAATGTTAATTAATATATTAATGTATACATATGCTCATACACACGTTTATGGAAACTTAACATATATGAACCAATGGAACCATATTACTTATTGTACGCGGAGTATATCATGCTTATAATACCGAAATATTACGCAACTCCGCTGTCCGATGTGTTAAGACTACGCCATATATAGGTGTAGAATTTAACTAGGAAAGCTGTTAAATAAGGAAAGATTTAAAAAAAAATAATAATAATAAATAAATAAGAATAAATGAGGAACGTCTGCAAACGTATGAAACCGAAGAAGGCTGCTGGAACTATATATACCCCTGCGAACCATCTCTATATAGTATATACACCTTCCTTTCCTTCTAGGACCAGAGCCTCAATTGACTGAGATTTCTCCATAAGCTCTGCGTCGTAAAAACATGGAAGCAAAGAAGCGGGTGAATGTTGCCGGACTGGTCTTAACACTGGAGAAGCAAGGTCGCCGGAGGTGTTCGAACTACTGCCACCGGATCAACTTCTACCGTTGAACGTCGCCTTCTGTCGCCAACCTACTGACTTGACGTGACTACAGAAAGGAAGAGCTTGGCGCCGGAAAGAGAGAACCATTGTGGAAGAGGCCGCCATGGGTTTTTACGAGGCTGCCAGAGTGCCGGGACATCTAGCCATTCACACCGGCAAAGGAGGAGCCGTTGGACCACCGTCCTTTCGCAAAGTGAAGAAGTTCACGTACACAGTACGTACCCCTGTTTCATGTCGGAGTGCCGTTGGAGAGTTGCGGGGAAAGGAGGACAATGTCGCTGCAAAAGTTCGCCGTAGGGGCTGGCCTAGTACGGAGATTACCGAATCGCAGTGCTATCCCATTATTACACACGTTCCCGGAGGAGAGGAGCCGATGAGAGACAAGCCACACCGGGGAAGCGACTCGTCACCTTCCCCTGCCTCTGTTTCACTTGCCCGTCACTCCTGACTTCTTCCCTGCGTCGATCGAACGAAGAAGATGACTGGCTGATCAACTACGTACGTAATACATACGCCTTCTTTTGTTTCATTTTAGCTGGGCTGGTTCAGTTATTAAAACAAATGGACCAGTAGTTTGATTAAGCTTTGGACAACCTTACTACCTAATATTGAAAATAATGATGAATTAAATTAGGCCACTTGAATATAATTGATCTGGACAGAATATTAGTAAAAGTAAATCAGTGATAATAACTTTAATAAAATTAAACTTAGGAATAAGTACTCGGTGATGATTACTTTTAAAAATTTACCATTCTGAAACAAGTAAGTGAATACTATAAGTTGATTATTTCTAAAACTGACTGACCAGGTTAGCCTAAGCAGAATAATAGATGTATTTTGATAGAGGCAATTCGTTAATCAGATAAATTATGGTGGAATAGAGGTAATTAGTAAATTAGATTAAATAGGTATAACCAGGTAACTAAATAAGTTAAACTAAGGTGGGCTAATTAATCTCAATTTATAAAAAAAAATATTAATTCTAGAACTTTAATATTCTTAGAAGGTGATTTTGATCAAGATCGAGATAGAAGCTTCGATTAGGACTTATCGCGATTTGAGGTAAGTTTCTCTGCCAATCTAAAATTGTTTCCTCGTATTATATGCTTATTATGCATTATGTGAATAAGTATGAATTGTTGAATTTTGTGTATGTGATTTTTGAAGAGATATTATATATATGGTAGTTGAGAAATATAAATTAAGTACTTTTGGGGTATTTAATATTTTTAAATACCTTCAAGACTTTTTAGAGAAATTGAGAAGTATTTTTGAAGTATTGTTTATTGAAGATAAAATTTACAGTTTTATAAGAGGTGAGCATCACGGGAGAAATCTGTGGTGTTGGTTTTCCACGTCCGGATAAATGTGGAGGGTGATTAGGTCTGCTACTACTAAGAAGTACAGTTTGAGTTTAAAGTGATATTTGGATCGATGATCCCTTTTAAGAAGAAGTTATGGTAGTAGTAGTCCCTAGTCATTCAAAATATCTTATTCAGGGGTAGTTGGTAGACTGAGTCCCGACTACTCGTTACGACTTACTACTCGGGGGGCTTGGAATCCCTTTTAGGGGGTGTGCACACTTAAGGTAGTCGTTTCGTTTTTAACAGAGCAGTTGTGGTACCGGCACTTGTTCGGGGTGGCCGTCCGTAACCACGGTCCACCGGGCTCTACCGAAAGGTGGAGCACCGCCCTTCTAAATTACTAGGAAGTTAGAGAAGAAGTGATTTTTGAGGAAATCGAAGAGAAGAGTTATTATGAAGTTTTATAGAGAAGTTGAGGATTTTTGTAAAGAAGTAGTCTTGAGAAAAATCAAAGTGAAAAGAATTTCGATGGTGTGAGTATTTTTATATATTATTATATAAAAATTCTATTTTTGTCAAACATGATTATTTTACGGGGTTGGGTAGTACTTACTTAGCTCTAAAGCTAATTTTTGTTTTCTTTTCCTTGTTTTGTTTCTGCACTTTATTTGTGCAGGTGAGGATGATGTTGTCGAGTGATGATTGCTTGCACGGCCGAGAGCGAGTTAGAAGTCGCCTTAGTTATATTAGTCATAAAATAAACATTTACTTTTCGAACACTTTACTTTTATTAAATTAGTTGTTATGTTTTTAGTTGCCTGTGCATCCGGTTGAGAGATGACCGGATGTGGCGGTAACACCCATTTCCCTATTTTAGACTTCCGCTGTATTTCTTTAACTCTTTGATGAATAAATAAAAGTTTTATTTCAATTATGTCACCGTTTTGGGTGGGAAATTTGGGGGTGTTACAAAGGGAGACTAGCTTCCAAGTCAAGTTTTATGACTGAGGCGAGATTTTTCAAAACCATAGTTCCGATTCCCCGGGCGACAATCCGTACCTTATCCGAACGTCGCTCGGTTAATCCATATCTTACAGTCTTGACACCATCTCCAAGCCGTTTTGATCCCTTTGCCCGTACGTAATTACAGGGTCGACTTTGGCTAAGTTGACGACTCAGCTCCCTCCAAGCTGTTAACCCGTTCGTCATTCGGTCATCCAGAATGATTCTACGTGTTAACAAGCTGAGGTGAGAATCACTGTCCTTCGAACTCCAGGCCATTTTGATCCCTTCATCAATGCGTAATTACAGGGTCAAAACTCTTGCTGAAATGTATGGCTCCTCCAAACTGCTAATATGTTCGTCATTCGGTTTTCCAGAATCGATTCTCATATTAACCGCTGAGGTGAGACTATCTGAGCGTCAAACTCCCAGTCGTTGGCTGAGAATGACTTTCCTTCCATGGAATTAACCCGTTCGTCATTCGGTCATCCGGAATGATTGAGTTAACCATGGGCACCGATTTTCTAAGCCTCAATTCTTCAAGTCGTTTTTGATCCCTTTATTCTTACATAAATCTAGGGTCAAAAACTCTCTAAACTGAGAATTGATTTTCCTTCCATGGAATTAACCCGTTCGTCATTCGGTCATCCGGAATGATTGAATTAACCATGGGCATGGATTTTCTGAGCCTCAATTCTTCAAGTCGTTTTTGATCCCTTTATTCCTTCGTAATTCTAGGGTCAAAAACTCTCTAAACTGAGAATTGATTTTCCTTCCATGTTGTTAACCCGTTCGTCATTCGGTTATCCGGAATGATCGAGTTAACCATGGGCTGAGTTTGTGGAAGTTATGTCTCCCTCTCTATATATTTTTTTTTAGAGGTGGCAACAGCCGTTTTTACTGATAAAATCTCCTCAGATGCTCTACATTCCAGGTTCCTGCCGGTCGGCCTTCGGTATTTTGTAGGCCAAACGTTCCTAAAGCATACTTCTTACATACTTGGTAGGGGCCTTCCCAATTTTGTGCCATTTTGCCCCCTTCGAGCGGTTTGCTTTTCTCTCTCTTTCTTAGTACCAGGTCCCCTACCTCGATTGAACGAACTTTAACCTGTTTATCAAAGTATCTTCTTGTGGCCCTGTGATACTCTTCCATTCGTGCCGCTGCCAGATCCCTTCTTTCTTCTATGAAATGCAATTCAGCCCGTAAGTTATCTTCATTCTGTTCTGGGCTGTAATGCACCGTTCGGTGTGTGGGAACTAGGATCTCCGTGTGTACTTTGGCTTGAAAACCATAGGCAAGGGCAAATGGAGTCTCTCCCGTGGCCGTTCGGGGTGTGGTCCTGTAAGTCCACAGAATGTAATTCAACTGATCAGGCCATGATGAGGAGTATTCTTCCAGCTTCTTCTTTATGCCATCCATGATGGTTCGGTTCATATTTTCTACCTGGCCATTTGCCTGAGGGTATGCGACGGATGCTCTGGAATGCTTGATCCCTCATTTGACTAGGTAGTTCTCAAAATTCCGGCTCACGAACTGCCTTCCATTGTCAGTTATAATCTGTTCAGGGATCCCGAACCGGCAAATGATATTTTTCCAGACAAACTTCTGGCATTTAACATCTGTGATGCTGGCCAGCGGCTCGGCCTCTACCCATTTGGTGAAGTAATCTATCCCCACAATGATGTACTTGTTGTTTCCGGGTGCAGTGGGTAGAGGACCTAACAGGTCTACTCCCCATCTTGCAAATGGAAGGGCCACCGTCATTGGAGTGTAGAAAGTGGCAGGCCGTCCGGGAACCGGTGCGTATAATTGGCATACCTTACATTTCCTGGTATGCGCGAAGCAGTCCTGTTGGATAGTTGGCCAATAATATCCTTGCAAGATGATTTTTCTGGCCAGCGTCTTGGGCCCTTGGTGACTGGAACAGATACCTTCATGAATCTCTTCCATTACAGCTGTCGCTAGATCGGGTGGGAGGCATTTCAGATACGGCCCCCCAAATGTCTTTTTGTACAGCTGCCCGTCCACCAACTCGAACATGGAAGCCCTCATCTGGATGCATTTTATTTGATAAGCAAGATTTTTATCTTGTGGGAGGGTTCCGTCTTTTAGGTAGTTGGTCATATCCACGACCCAGCTCGGGATGGCATAAGATATGGCCTCGATCTGGAGCACCATTATTGCTGGGGTTGCCAATGTTTCCCGATGGGCAAAACGTTGGATATGAGCCGGGATCTCCTGTGCCCGATCGTCGAACGCTGCATGCTCTAATTTGGACAGGATATCTGCTTCAGTATTTTTGATTCTGGATATCTGGTCGAGCACCACCTGTTCAAATTTATGTATCTGTTCCTCGACCATTTCCTTGTAGGCCTTCATCCTTTCTTCTTTGGCCTCAGTCGTGCCGTTCACTTGATGTACCACCAGTTGACTGTCCGATCTTACTTTTAACCGATCGGCGCCCAGGGCCCTTGCATACTTTAAACCAGCAATGAGAGCCTCATATTCAGCCTCATTGTTGGTCACCTTGAAATCAAAATGAATGGAACAATATGCTTTGAACCCCTCGGGCGATGTGATCACAGCTCCAGCTCCACAACCTTTGGCACTAGATGCTCCATCCACATACATTTCCCACCAGTTATCCAGCCCGTTGTTCTCTGAATCTTTTTCTGAGGGCCGGGCGGTACATTCCGCAATGAAATCTGCCAGGGCCTGCCCTTTGATAGTAGGCCGGGGTTTGAAATCTACCTCATATTGCCCGATCAGGAGACTCCACTTGGTAATGCGCCCACTTGCCATAGGATTTCTCAAGATGGTGGCTAATGGCTGGGTAGTATATACAGTTACCGGGTGGGTCTGGAAATACGGGGCCAGGCGTTTAATAGCAGCTATCAGGGCCAGTATATTCTTTTCTAGCAAGGTGTACCTGGTTTCCGGGCCGTTCAACGCCTTGCTCACAAAATAGATTGGCCGTTGAACGCCATCTTCTTCTTTCAGCAGTACTGTGCTTACGGCCAAGTCAGCTACAGCCAGGTACATATACAGATGTTCCCCTGATTCGGGTTTTGTCAAGACCAGGGGGGAAGACAGATATGTCTTGAAATCCTCAAAGGCCGTTTGGCATTCGGCCGTCCACTCGAAAGGGTTGGCTTTCTTCATGATTTGGAAAAACGGGATAGCTCGATCGGCCAGTTTTGATAGGAATCTGCTCAGGGCTGCTAGCCGACCGGTCAACCTCTGTACTTCCTTGAGATTCCTCGGAGCCTCCATGTCCACAATGGCTTTTACTTTTTCTGGATTGGACTCAATCCCCTTCTCGCTCATCATGTACCCCAAAAATTTGCCTCCTCTTACAACAAACGCACATTTCTTGGGATTCAGCCTCATATTCGCCCTTTGCATTATCCTGAACACCTTTTCTATGTCCAGGACATGGTTTTCTTTCTTTTTGCTCTTGATCAGGATGTCATCAACGTAGGCTTCCATTGTGACACCCAGCACATCTTTAAACAGCATCCCGATCATCCTCTGGAAGGTTGCCATCGCGTTCTTTAATCCGAATGGCATGACGATGTAGCAGAACACGCCATCCGAAGTAACGAATGCCGTTTTCTCTGCATCGGCCGGGTGCATGAATATCTGATGATAACCCCGGAAAGCATCCATGAAGCTCAGTAACTCACACCCAGCAGTCTCATCCACTAGCAGATCGATCCTCGGCACTGGGTAGGGATCCATGGGGCATGCTTTATTCAGATCGGAGTAATCCACGCACATTCTCCAGGTAGATTGTTTTGGGGCTAGAACCACATTGGATAGCCATTCTACGTGGATTACCGAACGGATATGCTTTATCCTTAGCAAAGTGGCCACTTCCTTCTTGGTGAATTCCCGCCATTCGGTCGCTTGATACCGTTTCTTCTGTTGGACCGGTTTTACATCAGACCGAACGGCAAGTTTATGACATATTATTTCTGGATCAATGTCGGGCATATCTTCTGGCCCCCGGGCAAATAGCACCTGAAACTTTTTGAGGACGGCAATCACGCCATCCCGGATATCTGCCTCCAGATCTACCCCGATAGCGACCTTACGGTTCGGGGGGAAGTCGAGGTCGATTTGTTCAAGAAGGGTGGCGGGCTCCGGGTGTGCCTCGAACTCCGGTCGGTGGGTTTCCACCTCAATTGTATTCACCCGCATCCCACGAGTGTTCATCTGTTTCAGGGCCTCCCGATAACATGTCCGGGCCGTTGTTGGATCAGTTCTGGCCACCCCTACCCCAGTGTCGGTGGGGAATTTGATGCATGAGTGGCGAACAGAGGCTATTGCCTCCAGATCTTCCAATCCCGGTCGGTCCAAAATGGCATTATGGGCGCACTTTATATCTACCACTACGAACGTCATTCGGAGTGACGCTCTGTGGGTTTCATCTCCAATTTCAACCATCAATTGGATGGTCCCTTCCGCCTCGATGCAGTTACCGGTAAAACTCGCCAGTGGAGTCCACAGGTGGGTCAGGTTGCTCCTTTGTAGACCCATTTTCTCGAATGATTGTAGATACAATACATTCACACTGCTCCCAGTATCGACCAGCACTCGGCGGATTAAAGCATTGTCAATACACATGCTCACCACCAGTTCATCCATGTGGGGGCTTGGAGAGTTGGGTAGATCAGCTGGCCCGAACGTGATCGGGTCTGTCCTTCCTTTCTTCTGAGGGGGAGCGGAGACGGACCCCACATAAAGACTCCACTCGAACCTTTTCCGTTCGGCGTTCGAATCTCCGATCTCCCCGCCCCCAAATATGACCTTGACCTCCATTCGAGGCTTCTTTCCGGGTCCTCCCGAGCCCTCTGGCTCATCCCTGGGGGGAACATACACATCATTCTGAGGCTGGGCGTCACGTTGAGCATCCCGGCGCCAGCTGTT